TATCCCCCCATCAACTAAATTCATACAATGTCAAACAACTATCCGCAGTGCTTTGAAGTCATCTCCTAATGAATCAATAACCCACCTCTGGAAGTCGACCTGTAATCATACTAACACCCAATATGATAAGTATACGTCGACAAAAGAAGTAATTAAGTCATTCCGTGAAATTCATGTAGATAAATTGGAAAATCGGTTAAAATGTCAAGGTTCATTCTTCTCCAGCATCTCAAAATTTTCACTACCCCAAGTAAATTCGATTTGGCCAACCTGTCAATCCAAACTACAAAAAAAACATTTTCAACTTCACTATTCGCTACATAAACAATTCGCTACCGACCCGTAAAAACCTTCAAAAATGGGGATTCTCTTCGTCCTCTGAGTGCTCGTTTTGCCTTAAACCTCAATCTCTATTACACGTTGTTGCTGGCTGTAGTTCCTATCTTGATCGATTTACTTGGAAACACGACTCAATCCTAAATTTTATTGCTAATAACCTACCATCAGAACATATTCAGACCATTTATGCTGACTTACCATCATTCCCTAATCCCTCTGTTATTACTGGCGATGACTTTCATCCTGATCTACTAATTTTGACCAAAGACAATTGTCTATATGTACTCGAACTAACCGTTGGATATGAGACTAACCTAAGGAATAATATACAGTGCAAATACTCAAAATATAAAGAGAGTAGTTATCGATAAACTACCTTTATGAGCGAGGTTTATCAATGTAAATATAGTTTTATGGTATATTATGAAATAAATAAAGTTCCATTATTTTTATTATTATTATTATTATTGTTATTGTTGTTGTTGTTGTTGTTGTTGTTGTTGTTGTTGTTGTTGTTGTTGTTGTTGTTGTTCGTCGTCGTCGTCGTCGTCGTCGTCGTCGTCGTCGTTGTTATTATTATTATTATATCGTCCTGATTTACTTGTCTCCACTTCAGACAAGCACCTCTACGTTGTTGAACTTACCGTAGGCTTTCAATCAAACCTCACAAACAATGTTAACCGCAAGAAAGCTAAATATAAGAACCTAATTAGAGAACTAGATCAAAACTTTACATCTGTTAAATTTATAAATCTTTCAGTCAGTTCGCTAGGGGTGTTTGACAAAGAATGCCATACATTCGTAAAAATGCTAAATGAGTTAGGACTGGATAATCAACACCAACAATATTGTATCAGAAAAATGATATCTGTTGCCTTCCGATCAACGTACTACATATTTTGCTGTAGAAATAAAGAATGGACAAATCCCGAACTAATGAACATTTAAAGTAACTATTTCTATAAATAATTAACAATTTTTGTATATAAAACTATAACCATGTATAAGTGATTCAAGTAGTCAATTGTAGGTTACCTCAAGAAGTGAGATTTACAATTGTATATATCTATAAATGTTCTATTAATAAAGTTTTCATTATTACCTCCGCCAGGAGGTTATGTAATCATCTGGGTTTGTATGTGTGTATGTGTGCGTGTGTGTATGTATGTGTGTATGTATGTGTGTGTGTTTGTCTGTGAGCACGATAACTCAAGAAATACCAAACATATTCATACAAAATTTTTTGAATGCATTTCCCATCGGTTGAGGAAGAACTGATTAAAATTTGGTTGAATTTGGTTAAAAATTGAACGAGAAATGAACAAAATTCTGTCTTGTTTTTCCCGGTCAATTAAAAAAAATATTACTGAATGCGTAATTAGGACGTGTATAATTTATGCACGCAGTACTAAGACAATAATGAGATGATAAACCTCATTAAGCTTCGGCCTTCATTATCTATTGTCTTAGTTGCATTTCACGCGACCGAAATTCAATGTCTAAAACAAGGCTTACGGAGTTACGCATTATTACGTTCAGCAAAGTGCCAGTCCATTCAAATTCTAACATTAGATTACTTCAATACAGGGTGTATAAAAAGAACGCAACCTCGGAATTTCCCAAGAAATCGACATTGTTTTAAAGACAAAAGATTTTAGCTGCCTGGGAATTTAAAATAGCACAACTGTGAAAATTACTGCACGCGCGAGTGCATAAAGCAAAATTTATGCATTTATTTAATGACACTTAATAAGTTTTTATTTTACAAGTACTGTACAGAACAAGAACAGTAATATGATCTATTAGCAATTCGATTTCAATTCGCGGGGGCCTAAAATCTTTTATGCTTAAGAATTGCAAAGTGGATTTCTTAGGAAATTCCAAGGTTGCGTTTCACTTCCGAGTAACGGGCGGAGGTATGCAGTCTCTGAGTGCCCTCTAGTTATTATTATTATTATTATTATTATTATTATAATTATTATTATTATTATTATTATTATTAGCAACGTTGTGAAGCCACTGTACTAAGATATGCATGTATGATAGAGCAATCTATTTTACTTATACCTTTTGTAGCCTCAAAAATGTTGCAGTTGCACGTTTTGTCCCGGAGAAACACATTTTCGACCGATAATTTTCCTGTTATAATCGCTGGTTGCCTGGTTATATATTATTACAGATTACCTTTGTTCTCGCATTATGTATGTTCAAATATGATCTGCATGCTGATTACGTTTATACCTTTGAACCTGTGATATAGTTTAATATTTAGGAATAGGAATATAATAGAATATTTCAGTAAGGAATATATCAGGTTATTTGATTATGAAACCTGGTTTAGAAGAACTTCTATCCATTTAATTTTAATATGCAAAAGTATGTAACCATGCAAATATAAATTGTTTTTGTATTTCCAGGAATTCATCACAGCATTGACTGTTGATCAAAAGGGCAAAGTTCTACTGGAACTTTTGACCAATGGAAAGGGTAGTCTAGATTACGCCAAAAATATAGTGGAATTCGGCGGAGTCCCCCCTGAAATCCCAGATATAAGGCCACTGCCTACTGATGAAGAAAACAAGTGTTGTGGTAAAATCAGGTGTCTAACATCATATGTAACATTCAGAAACACCTGTACAGACAGAGAGGCTTTAGTCATGGCCATCAGATCAAGGTGTGACATTAGGGCTGAAGAACCAGATTACTCAACAAACAGCTACAGAAAGGCTGCATATCGCCAGTACATTCTCTGGCGATACGAAAAACTGGGAAAGGGTAATAGAAAGGTGTGTCCATCATGTGTAGTCTTGGCAATCAGACTCATATATCCTGCAAATTATGGGGTATACATGGGCTTAAAGAGAGCTTGACATTTTGTTTTTAATAAATAATAATCACTGAACAATCACTATGTACATATGTTCCATTCAAAAATATGTATAATTTCATTTGTTAATTAAACACTATTGAGCGAAATGTCTTCTCCATACTTCTAACATGTTCTCATGATGTTGACTGACCTACACCCAGTATAGCATCTTTATTGGTCTGCTCTGTCACAAACCTTGATTGTGCCCTCTGGACAAGATCGCTTGTTTTAGGAATTAGTTTGAGGGCAATGGATGGGGCAATATTGTTCGGATGATCTTCTGGAACAGGAACTGGCCTCAGAATACTTATCTGGTCCTTGACTTTCTTCTGCAGAATTCTGGTCGCAAGTGTGGGCCAGAAATCGTAGCTCTTAACTGAAAATCAAAAATACATTATGTATTAGAAGCCATATACCCTCTCTGATCAATACTTTGATATACAGGGTGACTTAAACAATTTAATTGTGTATTCTTTTCAGATTACTTGCTGTTTTGCATAGAGTACACAATTAATTTGTTGTTATTTAGAGGGAGAGGTGGGAACAGAACAGGATCCACAAACTGAACAGGTTCAAGAAACTCACTAAAAGTTATTAGCTTATGTATGGAAGTATGCTATGTGGAATAAAATTATTAAATACAACAAATATGTGGAAAAATTATACGTACTCATCTTCATCGTTACTGGAAAATTCTAGGTTTTGTTCTGTTTCTGGGAAACTTTCATCAAAATCGGAACTGTTCTCACTTTAAAACAATACAGAACTGTATGTTAATACTTGAAAATCGAATCAACTTCATTATTAGTGTGTAGATTTATCTGTATATCAGTACATGAGGTGAGGGGTTAAGCATTTCAGTCTTACGTTAACAATCTTTAATTCACCGTCTGAAGCTTGATATATGAAAACGTATGAATATCATGTCTCTGGGGCTTTATCAATGATGAAAGATGATTTTAAATAAAAAGGTCAATTACCTTGAATCGGAATCTGATTCTGAGCTGGTAGTATCTGTCTCGGAACTGGAAGGGTTGCCAAAATGTTTTCCAAATTCAGGATTAATGGAGAGCGACAAGTTCTCCATTGTACTGATGCCCAAAGTCTCCAAACCTTCGACTTCATGTCCAGAAATATGAGAAGTAGACTCGATCTTCATGAATATTTACACTACAAATGACATAAAGGGAACATTGCATGTCAACAATCACTTGACATGCATTCTTTATATTCACAGTAAAAACCCATATTATAACTGAAAAGTTTACTCACACATCAACATCGATATCAGATTGGCTGGAAATTGATGATATTAAATCTTCAAATAACCTAGCTTTCCTTTGTCCTACAGCAGGCGTTGAACTACATGGTACATGTGAATGATGCACTAAATTGAAACAGACAAAACGTAAATTGGATACAAGCCGTATATAATTCATAATAACATGACTTTGGGGAAAATATAGAGTATAAATATAAACTGCAGTGATCGTACTAAATATTTCGACTTACCACTACTAGGAGTTTGGATGCTTAGACCTTCGTATGTATTCATCATAAGATATTCTGCAAATTCGCTATGCGTTTTCGTCGAGAACCCAACAGAATCTTTTTTTGTAGTCCACATGTCATATATGCATGCATGTGCTTGGTTAATCTTATCCGCACGAATGCTTCGTCTTTCTTTGGCCTTCCACGTTTCGGACGTGATGCGCCAGCCATGACTCGGAAGGAAATACACCAGTTTATCGAAAATTACGGCGTATTATTTATCAAAACAAACAAACAATTCCTCTAACATCGTCAACGCTCCAAGGGGAATACAAAAAATTAATAATTTATGACACGATTGTTCAAATATCGCGCAGATTCCACATTAATCCTCAAAATACAACTTGGTGGCCATTTTCGCGGCACCGTAAAATGGCCGACTAAGGTAATAAACACGCAATGCATCACGGGCATGATACTCACTCTTTAATACTTTCATTCAGCACATAAAAGCTGAGAAGTACCGTCAATTTGGTTTCATGTTTAACTTCCTCAATCCCATTCACTGGTTTCAATTCGCTGATGACGCGGCTGTTATCACTGGCCAAGATTATGAAAACCAACACCTCTTAAACCGATTCACAATCTGGTGTCAATGGTCGAACATGATAATCAGAGTTGACAAATCTAGCACCTTTGGCATCAAGAAAGTTTTGATAAAATCCGTTCAGTACTTACCGAAACTA